AAAAGCGTTTCCTGTGATTTCAGATAAAGCTTAATATAACTGGCAACCATGATTTTAAGCCACAATGTGGCCAATCGTCGTTACTCTGAACCGTAGCTAATTTACTGGCACAAGCGGGAACAATGAAGAGGCAGGTGTCAAAAGGCTTGCGTCATGGCTCTTCCAGGTATTACAAGCCCCTCGAACAAGAGCATGAATAGTGTTATTAAATAAGCTACGCTTCAGAGTAGCGACACTTGGCCTTATTGTGGCTTAAAATCATGGTTGCCAGTTATTTGAAGCTTTATCTGAAATCACAAGAAACGCTTTTCCGTCCTCCACTTTAAACAGTTTGCGACAAAGCAAAGCAACATTACATGAGCTTCCTAACACCGAATCTAATGCTGAGAATGTCGCACTTTTTGATTCATGACGATCGGCAGTTGTGCCTGCTCTGCACAAGCACCAAAATGGCGGCGTTCACAACACTGTCTGGGAAGAGAGTGCCGATACTCTATGCGCAGCTAATTTATTGGCTCTAGTTCCCGCGAAACTCCTTTTCCCTGACTGAAACTGAAAGTAAATATGAATAATACAGCATTATTATAGCTTATTTAGTTATAACCAAATACACATAATGAAAGGAGGAAGCGGGCGGATAGGTGAAACCAGGGTTTTATGTGCGACCATTCTAACCGTCTCAAAAGAGAGAACGCACGAGCTTGCGCTGGTTTTAAAAAAAAAGGCATCCAAAGAAAAGAAGCGGCACGCTGTGTTCTTTGTTATTATGCGTCTAATTGCAAATTGTTGTGTGTATGTTTATACAGCTGGAAGTTAGTCTGCCTTAGTGGGCGTCTGGTGTCTCAGCTGCAGATGAGCAATTTAGCCAGTGCGGTACAACCGGAAACCTGGGGTGCTTAACGTGCTCCACGGAGTAGTGATACACGACCGCACGCCGGTACGATGCTCTTCCACAGCGAAATGGGCAGGTTCGGGGTGGGTTCTGCAGCGCCAGCTTTCGCTCCAAGTGCTCCGAGCTGATGTGCGCTAGACCATGCACTCGGCCACCGACCTTCCCCCCCCCCCCCCCCCCTTTGTGCGTCTAATTTATATACAGGTATAAGTATTTGAAGATCGACAATGGACGTCGATCGTCTCGAGGTAATGTAACGTAATAGCATTATATAAAGAATAAACTTGTTGAAGGACTGAGCGACTAAATTTTTCAATTCTTGGATTGTAATATGGCGGTAGCCTATTGCACTTACTGTTGATGAAGAGCAATATGAGCTGACGAGGTAGTGATTGAATGATGAGGCTCTCTAAGGACGACGACATTAGTGGGTGTCGAACCACAACGTACAGTGTCAGACTTGTTTCAAGTATCGTGCACCCAAAGACTTTCTTCACCCGACACAGAATAGGGTAGAATCAATGAAGATGCTGCTTTACAACTGTACGTGGAACACGAAAACTGCACTGTGCAGAAGTGTGGCTTATTTGTTAATATGAGGGACGGATTTCTAGCAGCATTCCCTGATTGACTACTTGGAACAAATGGCCTCGTTGACGTAAAGTGTCCCCGTTCCAAAAGATTCTTGAAGCATACTTAAACCGCAAAGGAGTATGAGGCGAAAAATAAGAAAAAGGAGCCTGGTGGGAAAGGTCCAAATCACCAACATAGTCCAAATCACCATTATAGCTTCTACTATAAAATACAAGGGCAGTTACACAATACGCAATGAGAGTTTTGTGATTTAGTCATATTTACACCTAAGGGCATTGACATCCAACGTATTCAGAAAGATGACACCTCCTGGTCAATCAACATAGAGCCTTTTCTACTCAAGTTTTACAGGGAAGGCCCGACTTCCGCTGAAATTCCTCACGTAGACGAGCTGTCCGACCGAATAAACTACAATTACTCTCGATCTGGGAATCTGTTCTGCTAGCCCGTTAGTTGCAGGATGGTATGGTGCACTAATGTGATGCCTGATGCCGGTTTTTTTTTTCCTCAAAAACTTGTTTATTTTATTTGAACCAAGATTTGGCGCGTTATCAGAGAAAAGTATTTTCAGTAGGGTAAAAGTAGGTAAAAGAGACCGTAGAACGTCAATGACGTGTTTGGACGTGGTGGTAGGCATCGTGTAAACTTCCAGTCACTTAGCGTACGCATCGCCCATGACTCCGCAGATGTGGATACGTTTCGCCACCCACCGACTGAATAGTGGATCGTTTTCAGTTATTGTTCATGATGGCGTTGGACTCAAGAAAGACTTCGAGTCTTTCCGCAAAGTTAGCCCAGGTGCCAGGGCTTTTGTCGAAAGCGGTAAGTGTTCGAAACGTCGACAACGTCTGTAGCCTCGTGTTATGCTTGACACTGGACACTTACCGTTCGCTGAGAAGAAACTTGCTTGTTCGTCTGCCATGAGTCGTCCGATATCAGGTCATCACCGCAACACCATCTCCCGACAAAACTGATCCTCATTGTCCGCATGTCCATAGTTAGCAATCACGTGAACTTATAAATTCCCGAACTTGCCGTCGCTAAACGCCGTTCATTCATAGCGTCTTCATTGCAAATAAACGTCTTCCTATTTCTTCTGATGGTTTTCATCATATTCCTCCTAAGCTGTACTTACAACATTATGTGTGTCGGTACTTCCGAAAATATTGCAACGGTGTTTGTTTCCTGGGCCGGTTTGCTCATCTTGCGGCCGCGGACGCGGCTGCGGCCAGGAGGGATTTTTACATCACGTGACCAGCTCCATGGGGACTAGGAAGTACCTAGCGTCCCTGCCTAGTGGCGGAGAGATCCGCATTGCTTCAAGCACAAAAGCCTAATTTCGCTCGCAGAAACTGATTGCCGGGACTTTCAACTGGAGTCTAATTGACCGCCCCTTTATACTGTAGGAGCGGCAGGTAAAGTTACGGCCAGGGAGGGCAAATAGGAGCCAAAATAAAAAAAAAAAAAGAACACACGAGATAACAGTGGTAGCAGCATTTTTATATACCACCGCTGGCGCCGCGCCTTGCGCCTTCTGTTGTGGTGGAGAGGTTAAAGCGCCGGTACTTGTCGTCGCGGCGTGAAAGTTCCGTGTTCAAATCGCGCTAAGGACTTCTTTTTTTTTCTTTTTTTTTTTGTATTTTGCGCGTGTCTTACTTTTTAACTGTGATCCTTTTTTGGAAATCATCCACTTGCACTACTGCGCCTTACACGCTTTTACTGTTAGTCCCACCTGCTCAATCGAAACACCGGGAAGAAGAAAAAAAATAGCAACGCAAGTTAACGCGCTAATACAATCATTTCATTATGTTCATTAAAAGGAAACCAAGATAACAGCATCGGTATTTCTTTCACACAAACGGAGCCGAAACAAGCATCCTTCCCCCAGCATTTACAATTTTATCTGTTTTTAAATATCGTTCTTGCTACGATTCCTTTCAATAACAAGAGACGTCTTTTTAGGACTAATAAAAACTGCAGTTGTAGCAAATAAAAAAAAATCCAAAAAACAAGCAAAAAGAAAAAAAGAAACAGAAAAAAACAACAACTAGCAGCTGTGGATACACTGATTGAGCGAAATCCTACAGGCAAGGCAGCAGCTCAAACGTCTGAGAAAGTAGTAAAACCGAAATAAAAGAGATCATACTTTTACTTGCATGGAATGAAATAAAAAGTAGATTTATACTCTTTACATTTTGTTGTGGCAATCGTTTTGTAATAGTAACACATCTCTTGTTGAATTTTAGTTAGAATAGCAGACGATCACGACCAAATGCAAAAATGAATCAGGCGTCGACCATCGCAAACCCTCTCTCTCATGCAAACACCTAAAATGACTTTGTAAGTTTGTATCAACAAATAGAATTAATTATAATTAATTCCATTTCTTGATCCAAAGTCATTTTAGGTGTTTGCATTAGAGAGAGGGGTTGCGATGGTCGACGCCTGATTCATTTTTGCATTTGGTCGGGATCGTCTGCTATTCAAACTAAAATTCAACAAGTAATGTGTTAATATTACAAAACGATTGCCACAACAAAATGTAAAGAGTATAAATATGCGTTTTATCTCATTCCATGCAAGTAAAAGTATGATCTCTTTTATTTCGGTTTTACTACTTTCTCAGACGTTCGACCTGCTGCCTTGCCTGTAGGATTTCGCTCAATCAATGTATCCACAGCTGCTAGTTTTTTTTTTTTTTTTTTTTTTTCTTTTTGCTTGGTTTTTTTATTTATTTTTTATTGTCACAACTGCAGTTTTTATTAGTCCTAAATAGGCGTCTCTTGTTATTGAAAGGAATCGTAGCAAGAGCGATATTTGAAAAGAGATAAAATTGTAAATGCGGGGGAAGGATGCTTGTTTCGGCTCCGCTTGTGTGAAAGCCATACTGATGCTGTTAGCTTGGTTTCCTTTTAATAAACATTATGAAATGATTGTATTAGCGCGTTAAATTGCGTTGATCTTTTTTTTCTTCTTCCCGGTGTTCCGATTGAACAGGTGGGACTAACAGTAAAAGCGTGTAAGGCGCAGTAGTGCAAGTGGATGATTTACAAAAAAGGATCACAGTTAAAAAGTAAGACACGCGAAAAATACAAAAAAAAAAAAAAAGAAATCTCTAGCGCGATTTGAACCCAGAACTTTCCCGCCGCGACGACAAGTACCGGCGCATTAACCTCTCGACCACAACAGAAGTTTTTTTTTTTTTTTTTTTTTTTTTTTAATAAATGGAAGCTTACTAATAGCTACCCAGCCAAGTCCAACAGTACACACACAAATAACACAAAAGGTCCAAAAGTCACAGTCCACCTCACACAACGTGGCACGTAGAGTCCCACCCACACATGCTAACCTATGGAGCACAGGCACAGGCCACCAGTCACCAGAATCTCACACACGCGCACGTGAATCAAGTGGGGCGACAAACACACATCTTTAGTAGTTCTGTACAAGGTAAAAGGTTACATTGGCTAGAATTTACGATTCACCCAACGCATAAACAGCGATATTTACATATTTACACAATCTTAAAGTGCGGTAGGTTTAAGCACGCATCAAAGAGGCTAAACCAATCTGGCACCGGTGGGCGGGCCTCGTACACACTTCGCACTTTCGCTACCTCTTCAATGAAAAGCGATCTGGTCGTACGGGGCTGTTCGGCATTTCTGTCGATCATCCGGCACTTCCACACGCTATGCAGCCCAAGAAGCATAAATAAATCGTAAGGGACAACTTCATGTTGTTCAACGGGGAGAAATCGTATACTGTGTTCTGTGAAGTCGATATCCTTTTTCAGTGTTCGTTGGAGAACGTCCCAAAAGTATACTGCGTCATTACAGTATATGAAGCAGTGTTCAATGGTTTCCGGTTTGTTGCATAATCGACAGTTAATAGACCATGGAACGAAAAACCCTCTTTCCTGTAGCCACGCTTTAACCGGAAGTGTGGAAGTGTGTAATTGAAAGAAAAATGTTTTTGCAGTAGGCGATACACACATCTTTTTAACTCTTTTCAAAACATCCTGTCCAGGGCTGTCATTAAACCTTGATCTATAAATCGGTAATGGGAAAAACTTTTCAACTAAGGCCTGAGACAAACATCTTCTAGAAACACTAAACAAGTATTCCAAAAAAAAAAAACCGGACATTTAAAAACAGCAACGTGTCTACAACTTCTTTCCAAAATCCTCTTAGAACACACGAAACGTCATCCGTCGTTGAAACTATCAAAAAGGGCAAATGCGGCGCAAGCTTCGTCTGAACTAGCGAGGCCTGTAGCGGATGTCTGATATTCCTAAAGAAAAATAATCTAGGTACAAGTTGACGGACAAATAAGTGGGCAAGACCCAACCCTCCACACTCAAGGGGGAGGAATAAATTGTCTCGCCTCATCCGTTCCCATGAGGAACTCCAAATGAAAGTCGCGAAAAGTCGATGGAACGCTTGTATACGTGGGCGGGCACAGTGGAGGACTTGTAACACGTACATAAGTTTAGACGTAAGGAAAATATTGCACACGGCAGCCTTAGTAAAAATGGAAAGGTTTCGCACCCTCCAGGCATCTATTTTCCGTTTCATGCTTGTGGCAACTGACGTCCAATATAGCCCACTGTTCCTGGCCTGGTCTAGGGGTACGCCAAGGTATTTTATTGATGGCTGATTCCAGTGGATCCCTGCAAATTTGGATGGTATTGTTCCCCACATGCCTAGCCAAAATCCGCTGGACTTGTCATTATTGACCGACGCACGGGTGACTGTGCAAAATTTTTGCGTTACGCGTAGAGCTTCTTCTACACTGTCTTTGTCGGCACAAAAAATGGCAACGTCGTCGGCATAAGCCAACAACTTCACTTCGGAGAAACAATATCGGTACCCACGAATATTGAGGTTTGTCAGCACGCTTAGGCAAAGCGGTTCCAAGTATAAGGCAAATAGAAGCGGAGATAGAGGACACACTTGTCTTACTGAAGACCTTATAGCAATCGGATCGGAGAGAGTCTTATTAACTATGATCCTGGTGGAGCAGTCCTTGTAACATAATTTAACGCCGGAGAGGATGTTGTCTCCGATATTGAGGTGGGCAAGGACTTGAAACAAAAATGAATGGCTGACCCTATCGAAGGCCTTTGCAAGATCGATTTGTACTAATGCAACTTGGTCATTGCCTTCAGTCACACAGTCGAGTACAGACCTGGCAATGTGCACATTGGTCTGAATAGTTCTCTCCCGTGTTCCGCAAGTCTGGTGTTCTCCAATTAAGTTGTCAGCTACCTCGTGAATTCTTTCGGTGAGTAATTTTGCAAATATTTTGTAGTCAATGTTACATAATGATATTGGTCTGTAGCCTGTAGCTTTTCTCAACACTGCTTCGTTTTTGCTCTTTGGTATTAAGACAGTATGTCCTCGGTAAAAGTAGGCGGAAGCATTTTTTCTTTATATCCGACGCGGAATACATCAAGCAGCACTGGAGCTAATAAGTCAATAAATGTTTTATAGAACTCTGCACCCAGACCATCAGGACCAGGTGTCTTGTTCGCGGGTAGTGAGTTTATGGCATTTCGCACTTCTTCTAATGTTAGGTCGCCGTCTATCATAGTTCTTTCTTCCTCTGATAAGACTGGTAAAAGTGAAAGCAACTCTTTTGCGCCTGTCTCGTCTCCTGTTGATATTGTTTTACCGAAGAGGTTGTTGTAATGTTCAAGAAAGACGTCTAAGATGCCGGGGGTATCAGACGCGGAAGTGCCCTCGTGGTCAACGCTAGGATTTGTTTTGATAGCGCGTACTGTCTTTCGTCATTTAAAGATCGCCGCGAAGGGGGTTCCTTTAGCAGAAACCTCTCCGATCGCGAACGAATGACTGCTCCTCTGTACTTCTCTGCATCATATCGCTGTAGCTGTGCTTTGGTTATATTAATGTCCTCTGTGTAAGTTCCTGGACGCAAAGATTCCAGCTCATATAATTCAGTAAGTGTGTTAAGAAGTATTCGTCGGTCTTCCTTTCGTTCAAACGCAAGAAGACTAGAATACTCTATAGCTCAGTTCTTTACGTCTTGTTTAAACATATCCCACTTAGCAAAGATGGAAAGCATCGGGAGACATAGCACAGATGAGGGAATATCCGGAATGCGAATAGAGAAACGTTTCTCTGATAAGAGTGTGACATTAAATTTCCAAAGTTTCCATTGGGGGCGAAAAGATGACAGTTTTCTCTCCCCAATACATGTTGACACCAGACAGTGATCAGAAAAGAAAATAGGTTTTACATTATAATCACTAATTTTAGCGAATAATTCTCGGCGAACGTAAATTCTGTCAAGGCGAGCATGTGCTGAATTTTGAAAGTGTGTGTAATGCAAGTCTCCATTTTTGTGGTCACCAATGTCTACAAGATTGTTGTCTGCAACGACTGATCCCAGCACAGTTGCGCTTGAATCATACCTTGACATTGGCTGCGAACGATCTCGGATGTTGCATACACAGTTGAAATCTCCAAAAAGAATAATATTCCTATCTGTTACCAAATGGTGAGATACGAAAGAAAAAAACACAACAGAAGGCGCGAGGCGCGCCGCCGGCGGAAGTATATAAAACTTCAACTACCGCTTTTATCTCGTGTGTTTTTTTCTTTATTTTGGCTCCTATTTGCCCTCCCTGGCCGTAACTTTACCTGCCGCTCCTACAGTATAAAGGGACGGTCAATTGGACTCCAGTTGAAATTCCCTGCCATCAGTTTCTGCGAGCGACATTAGGTTTTTGTGCTTGAAGCGATGCGGATCTTTCCGCCATTAGGCAGGGACGCTAGGTACTTCCTTGTCCCCATGAAGCTGGTCACGTGACGTAAAAATCCCTCCTGGCCGCGGCCGCGGCAGCAGCCGCAAGATGAGCAAACCGGCCCTGGGAACCTATAATGTAACAACCTTTACAACATCTTCCGGACCCTGCGAAACATAATATTTCGTGACCTTTTTTTAGTCGTCATTAAAATGGTGAGGTAAGTACCGTAAATCGCGAAGCAGTTTACTTGACGTCCGCCTCCACTGGTGTCTTGGAAGATTGAGTCTACTGAGCGTGCAGTCCTGCAGAGGAAATTTTCATTGATAGAATATTGACACGTCAATCAACATTTGATTCCTTCTTGGTAAGATTTATTGCGAAAGCCTGTTACAACCGCCGAACGGCATGTCCCTATATCAGAGAACAATTTATACCCAGCCTGACATTCTCGCATACATCCGTTTGATGGGCCACGCTAGTTGAGCCAACTGAGCACAGATGCCAGTGGCGCGAGCATGGCCACGAGGGGAACGCGATGGTGCTCGAGCCATCCCACTGTGAACCAATGTTTCGACCACCCCACGGGTGCGTGTCGCCATCTATTGGTTGAACTAACGCCTTGTTCAAGATGGCTGCCGTGGGACTGCAGCCTTAAGTGATACGAACCGCTTTCGGTTGAAACTCTGTTTTTTCTTTAGAGTCGCTGGTAAGTCAAGCTTTGAGAAATATTTACATTTTCTAACTTCCGCGAACACGTCCCCTGCCCGCGGAATGGGCTAAGAAGCAGGATTGAGTACGTCGTTTAGACGTCGGAAGTCACTGCAGACACAATGTGACTTATCTTGCTTCTTCACTAGGACCAGAGGAGAACGATATGGTGACGTTGATTGCTCACTCACTTGTAGCGTCAACATTTGTGCCACTTCTTCCTCTATCGTCTCTTTCGTTGCGAAGAGGATTGTGTATTGTGGAGCCTGGGTAGGACCGCTTGTCGTCAACTCAACCTTGCACTCCAACAGTTCTGTTCGTCCAGGGGTCTTGGTAAATATCTCTAATTTTTTTGTAGAACGCTCTTGACGTCCATTTTCTTTATCTCGCTGAGGTCTTCGGCCACCACCACAACCACAATTTCCTGGGAAGGCCTGGTGTCAATACATGGTATGCCCTGCTTCGTTTCTCCTTCCTCGATAGCTATTATTGAGCACACTTGATTCTTAATTTGCCCAGCATCCCTCTCTCGCTCCTCACACTTTTTAACATATTAATATGAAATACCTTCGTAGTGTGCACTAAATATATGACGTAGTCGACTTCGTTTATTTTTCCTACTGCTTTGTAGGGACCCTTCCAGTGTACGAGCAGCTTGTTCTTCTTGGCCGCTACCAATAGTACTGCACTATCACCTACTTTTAAACGTCGTCTTCCCGCCTTTTTGTCGTATATCTTCTTCTGATGCTTCCTGGCGGCTGCCAAGCTCTGATGTGCCAGTTCCGTGGTTTCTTCAAGGCGATCCCGCAGGACCAAAACATAGGAGTATGTTGTTTTTAGATCTCGCCCCAACTCCTCATCTGTCCAGATTTCTTTTAGTATCGTTAGCGGTCCCCAAACATACCTCCCATAGATCAATTCAAAAGGAGAGAAACCTAGGCTCGCTTGGGGGACCTCTCGAGAATCAAACAGGAGTGGGGCGAGATACTTATCCCATGTTAGGGGCTTCTCCTGACACATCTTGCACAACATCTCCTTCAAAGTACCGCTGTACCTCTTCACTAAACCGTTACAAATAGGGTGGTACGGAGTCTCCAGCAGCTGTTGGACAGACATCATTCGAGTGAGCTCCTGCATAAGCCCCGATGTGAAGCTTGTCCAACGATCATACAAAATTTGTCTGGGGAGGCCCACGCACGAAAAGATCTCCGATAGCCCTTCCGCTACTGTGTGAGAGTCACAGGATGGTAGCGCTACCGCATCAGGGCATCTCCTCGCGTAATCTTCCATAGTTAGAACGTAGCGGTTCTTATTTTCGGGGCTCGTCGGCAGCGGGCCTATCAAGTCGATAGCCACACTTTCAAATGGAGTATTAATGACTGGCATTCGGCCAAGAGGCGCCCTCTTGACCGTGCCCTTAGGAGTGGCCCACTGACATGCATCACATGATTTCGCGTATCTTTTAATGTCGGCCTCCACTCCTGGCCAATACAAGGTCTCTAGTACCCTGTCAGTGTACGTTTCATTCCG